AGCAAGAGATTTGAACAAAGTTCGGTTATTGTATTCAGAAGAATTAATTATGTCTATTTTAGAACAAGGCACGCCTATTTATAAGGCTCAAAATAAAGATCTAGTCCTAATCTACTTAGACTAAACTACTTACTCTATGAAAGCAATAAAATATAAAATGTCCTAAACAAACTAGAAAACAAGGAAATAAAATATTAACCAAGCTATCTAGAATATTCTTGCGTCCTTCCTCTAGTCGCCTTGCCCCGCGTCCGTGTTTCCTAATCGCCCAAGGACTAGGGCTTCATCTTCAATCCCCGCGCACGCGTCCAGCAGCTCGCGTAATCCTCGCGCGCCTAGACAAGTACGCGCGTGCACCCCATCGCCTGCGCGTTCAATCCCGCGCTCGTCCCCGACAGTATCGCGCGCGTCGTCTTCTGCGTATCGCGCCTCGCCGGCACGGCGACTTAGCCTCCTCCGCGCATGCCATGCGCGACTCGCTGCGTTCTTGAGCCTTCTCGCCGTGTTCGCATCATTCCCGTCCCCTTCAAGTGCTTCCTTGTCCTCAAGGAAGAAGTCGGGAAACATCTCGCGCATCTCGTCCCAACTTTGCCAAGTTGCTTCCTCGCTCAGCAAGTCCTCCCATTCGACGAGCACCTCCCAAAAATATTTCCCAGCCTTTTTTACTTGCTGGTACTCCATCACGCGACTCGGCCGCACTATAACCTGCCCGTCCGGCGCGACCGCAGGTATCGATCCTTTGTCGCGTGCGCCTCGCCGAGTCGTTGCTTGAGTTGTGAGACGTGTATGACCGGATGAATATGGGAATCGTCCGGCAACTCAAGTCGATAAGCAACCTTCCCAACCTTGGCCAAAATTTTATAAGGCCCGTAATATCGAACTCCAAGCTTGGTCGCGGCCCTTTGCGCGGCCGTCCTTTGCCGAAACGGCCTCAACTTCAAGTACAACCAGTCCCCGGGCTCGAACTCCATGCCACGCCGCTTGCCATCATGGTACGACTTCATCCTATTGATCGAGCCCTCCAACGTCTGCTTTAGCTCGTGCAACATCAAGTCGCGCTCGACCAACTCTCGGTCGACCTCATCGTTCACGGCGCTCCCCATCGAGTAACTCACGATCGTCGGCGGTTTGCGCCTGTACACCAACTCGAACGGCGTCGCCTTAGTCGAGCTATGGTGAGTGGTGTTATACCAATACTCGGCCCAAGGTAAATAATCCTCCCACCGCTTTGGAAACTGATGCACATAGCACCTAAGGTACTGCTCGAGTGTGCGATTGGTCACCTCCGTCTGTCCGTCGGTTTGTGGATGATAAGTCGAGCTCATGTTTAGCTCGGTTCCATGCAATTTAAAGAACTCTGACCAAAAAATACTCATAAATATCTGATCTCGGTCGGACACAATTGACCGCGGCACCCCATGCAATTTCATCACATATTCAACAAACAATTTTGCTATAGACTTAGCCGTGTATGGATGAGTAAGTGGAATAAAATGCGCATACTTGGTAAGGCGGTCAACTACCACCATGACTCCATTGAACCCATTCGAGAGTGGCAAATTCTCGATAAAATCCATGGTGA